TCCCCGAAAGCGATGAAAATTTGGGGGGAGGGGATGTATTCCCCGCAAAGGCAGTAGCTAGATTTGTCCCGGAATAAACCCCGAGCTAAAAAACAGCTCGGCTGAGGGTAGATTCGGGCTGAGGAGACACTCTGTCAAGGAAGAATCCAAAAAAGAAGGGCAGATTTGCCCAAAGGGTACCCGGAAACGAGACCAGTGAAGCATCAAAAATCCTTTATAAAGAGGGACCCGCTACGTACCCGGAACCTGGGAAGGCGCACCGGACCACCAGCAACCACAGAAACCCCGCTCGGACGGGTTGCAACCCTAGAAAACAAGGGTAGAAACGTACCCCAGAAGTACCCAGAAACGAAACAGAGGGTAAACCAGTGCAGCATCAAAATCCTATACAAAGGGGAACCCGCCACACACCCGAAGGCTAGGGATGAGCACCGGAACCGCCAGCAACAACAGAAACCTCGTTCGGAGGGGTTGTAAAAAAAAAAAAAACCAGAAAAGAAGGGCAAAGACATTGACAGACCCGGAAATGGAACAGAGGGTAAACAAGTGCAGCGTCAAAATCCTACATAAAAAGGAATCCACCACATACCCGGAACCTGGGAAGGCGCACCGGAACCACCAGTAACCACAGAAACCCCGCTCGGATGGTTGCAACCCCCCTCCCCCTCCCCTAGAAAAGAAGGGCAGACACGTACCCGGAAGTACCCGGAAACGGTACAGGCAGCAAACCAGATGCAGCACCAAACAGAAACCAGTCACGCATCCCGAACCGGCACCGAGAGACACCCACAGAAAGCACCGGCAACCTCCGCCACCTTGTCCGAATCGAAAATGCAGCAAGGAAAAATTTTTGAAACAGAGACAAACTTAACAAAAATCAACGATCACTGATTGACAATCCGTGCAGGACCCATCCCTCCTTCAGATACCCGTCGAAATGCAAGTACGCAGGGCTCGTGCATGGCGACGTTTTGCCGTGAGATTCCCTTGGCGAGTTGTCCGATGTTAATGAAATGCGCGGTACACATTACAAACAGTGCCCCAGTCACCGCCAGTTGACGATAATCTTGCGTTTTTGCACGTAGGCAAATGCAATAAATAGCGGCACGCACCGGGCTGTAGCCGACATTTTGTGCAGTTCCGCCCAGCGAACGTTTGCCTGCTAAGGATTTTCACTGTTTTACACTTTGATCTGTGCAAAAATAATCGATATGCCGGGGTTTGGTTTCGTTGCTGCGAAATTTACCATTGAAAATTTCATGGATTAGTAAGTGAAATGCAAACGTATGCAGAAGTTGAATTCGAAACCTTGGATGGTGAACATTTTTCCAAAGTTTCAACCTCCTAGTTCTCAAGCTTCTGAGTGATTCTCGTGCAAAAACTTCCACATGGTCATATGTAAGATTTCATCACACTTGGGAGCTAAACTTGAGTTTGTTAGGCCTCTGCATAAGCAGAAAATAACTTTCCTGAAGTTTTCAGCTTCCCAGGCTACCGGCATAATAATTTTTTTTGCTACCGAGATAATAATTTTTCCCTCCAAAAATTAGCTCCATTGCGGTTGCCGGCATGCGTTACGTCTATATGCAGACGTACGGAAGGTGCCCAAAACTGGTAGCGGCACTGCATCGGGCAGAAATCTTAGCCGGAAAAATTCGCGATGTCCTAGCGGAAGGGAAATATCGGTTCCGGAAAAGTACCACAGACCGACTCTACGTCCCAAAGGAAATTGGTGGGTGTGGGTTGAAGTCTTTGGAGGATTGCCAGGCTTACGTGAACTTGGCAACCAAGTAAGCTTCAACGTCGAAATTTTTTCAATCGATTTCCTGGCCAAGGGCCACAACCAAAACGTGATACCGACCCTTACGCATGTCTGAATCTCGCGTACGTATATATAAAGGTTTTGGAAAAAAAATTGACGATTCGGGGACCAAAAGGCTGGAAAGCTTTTTTTTGCAAACCCAGACTGGAGCGCGCCAGGCTTGCCGATTTCATTTGCAAACCCAGACTGGGGCGCGCTAGGCTTGCCGATGCGATCAGGCGTTTTTGCACGAACGTGAAGCAGTCATGACGTTAACTGTATGAATGGTTGTTGCTTTACGCACCTGCCCTGTGCGCTGACTGTAATCGCAAAAATATCAATTTTGCATAAAGGAAAACGAACAATTTCCTTCCAACGATCGTTCTTTTAAAATGAAACAGCTGTTTAGCGGGCAATTCTCCCCTCAAAACTTCTTGGTGCCCGCACATGAGAACCACGTATATCTGGGAGCTGAATATGAAATATTTAATTTGTGCTTGGGCAGGAAACGCCGTGTTAAAATTCCAGTATTCCAGCTTTTGCGATTCCCAAGTTAATAATTTTCCCACCAAACTTTCACGTTCCCGTAAATGAGAACCACGCGCATCTAGAAGCTGAATTTGAAATTTTTAGCTCGTACTTGCACAGAGAATACCCTTGCAAATTTCCATCTTTCTACTTTATCTGGTTCCCAATATCGCTCTCCCGCTAAAGAGTTTGCATGTTTTTTAAGGCACCCGTCGCGGGACCCAGACGTAACATACACAAATGATAACATCCCTTTTGCCAATATGCTTTTTTGCACTTGAACAGTACACAAAAACGCATGATCGCTCTGGTAGTTTAATGCGTTCTAAACTAAGAATCCTTATGCTGACAAAATGAATCACGAAAAATTTCAGATATCATATTTAACACGCAGAAAAAAAAACGTTGTCACTCCTCCTGCATCCGGGTACACTTTACGGTGCTTAGATATAAGCACCTTTGTGCAAACACAACTAAGCCAGAGAACTTGTTTATCAGTTGGCAGAACAATCTTTTTTTTTAGATACATAGATAGTCAAAAAAAAAAAATGTTAGAGAATTTTTTTTTAAAGCACAAATGTTAATAGAAAAGTATGCTTGACACTAAACGTTATCACATTTACAAACGTTCACATTTGTGTGGAAGCATGTAAATATGAACATGTAAATATAACGTTTAGTGTTAAAAATACCTGTATATATAAGCAGACAAAGCCAAGATTTCCTTACAAGCACCATCTGGTATGCGTGGCGGAATTCTGACTTCTGCTTTTAGTGCTGTCGCTATTTTTTGCAGCTCTAGTGCTGTTCTAGCAACTGCATCCACTGAAGGTAGTTTTTTGAGAGTTTTCAACCAAAACCATACAGATGGGAAAATCTTATTAAACATAAAAACACAACACATACTTGAGTTACCACTGTGTTTCGCAAAACGCGCAATAAACGAGTAGGTTAAGCAACTGATTAGTC